CAATAATAATGCAACAGTAGTAATTAGAGTCTAACATATGTGCCAGGCACCTGCTCTACAAACACAGCCTCGTTTATTGCTCCAAGAAACCCTATTATTATTCCTGTGATTGTAGCTTGACTGGGATCACAGATTTACTCTTATTCCTCGCAGTGTGTTCCCCACTCAGCAGCCAGAAGGAGTCTTTAAAACTGAAGTCAGATTATGTCTCTCTTTAGCTCACTCCCAATAAAAGCCAGAATCCTTGGGCCTTCCCTGGTGGTCCAGTGGTTAAGACTTTGCACTTCCAATGCAGGGGACATAGGTTTGATCCCTGGTTGAGGAACTAAGATCCCACATGCCACAGCCAAAAGATTTTTTTAAAGCTAGAGATCTTGCCTTGGACCCAAAGCCTCAGACAATCTGCTTTTCCTCCACCTGCCATCTCTCTGACCCTATTTCCCCCTACTCTCACTGCCAGCCACACTAGCCTTGTTGCTTTTTTCTCTTGAAAACTCCAGGCATGCTCCTACCCCAGGGCCTTTGTACTTGCTAAAACCTTCTGCCAAGATTCTTTCCTGATTTCCAAAAGACTTGTTCTCTCACCTCTTTCAGGTCTCTACTGAAATGTCCCTTTCTCCACAAAGGTTCCCTGACCCAGTCCCCAGCTCTGTCAAGCCCCTTTCTTGATTTGTTAGCTAACTGGCCCTCACCACCATCTTATTGCCCATAGAGTTTATTCATTTCTTTTGTTTTTTTCTCCTTCTCTAGAATGGAGATTGTCCCTGATGGTCCAGTGGCTAAGATTCCACGTTCCCAATGCAGGGGGACCAGGGGTCACGACTAAAAACCCTGCATGCAGCAACAAAGATCCTGTGTGTTGCAACTAAGACCTGGTGCAGCTGAATAAACATATAAAGGCTTCCCTGGTGGCTCAGATGGTAAAGAACCTGCCTGCAATGCAGGAGACCTGGGTTTGATCCCTGGGTCAGGAAGATCCCCGGGAGAAGACAATGGCTACCCACTCTAGTATTGTTGCCTGGAGAATCCCATGGACAGGAGCCTGGTGGGCTACAGTCCATATGGTCGCCAAGAGTTGGACACAACTATGCTGTGATGACTCAGTTATCCCCAATTTACAGACTGAGAAATTGAGGTCCTAGGAGATGAAGAAACTTGCTCTACCAAGTTTCTGCTATGGTAGTAAATTACTGTAAATTCATTCAAAGGACTGATGCTGAAGCTAAAACTCCAATACTTTGGCCACCTGATGCAAAGAGCCAGCTCATTGGAAAAGACCCTGATGCTGGGAAAGATTGAAGGCAAAAGGAGAGGGAAGAAGGTGGCAGAGAATGAGATGGTTAGGCAGCGTCAGCAATTCAATGGACATGGATTTGAGCAAACTCCAGGAGTCAGTAGAGGACAGGAGCCTGGCATGCTATAGTCCATGGGGTAGCAAAGAGTCGGACACCAAGTAGCCACTGAACAACAATAGCAAAAAATCACCACAAACTCAGCAGCTTAACACAGCACACATTCATTGTCTTAAGTCCTGGAGGTGAGAGGTCTGTGCAGGTCAGCAGGGCCGCGTTCCTTATGGCGCTCTGGGCACCAGTCACTTTCCTGCCTTTTCTAGTACACAGGGTCCGCCTGCACTCCTTGGCCCAGGCCCTTTCTTGCATCACTTGGAACTTGGCTTCCCTCCTTCTCTGCCTCTGACCCTCCTGCCTCGCTCTTTTCTTTACAAGGAATCTTCTCGATTCTGTTGGGTATCCACGTGGATAATCCAGGTTCCTCTCTCCATCTCAAGATCCTTAACTTGGTCACATCTATGAAGTCCTTTGCCACAGGAAGTGACACGCTTGCAGGATCAGCATAGCAACTGGCGTTGGGGGACATTATTCAGCCCTCCACAGAGCCTCAAGTTACATCCAGAAACTTGGATGTAATTTGCAGCGCTGACATTCAAACTCCCATCTGGCTGACTCCAGAGTCCCGGGCCTATCTTACTCGCCAGAACCGTGGGCGGGGACCCTCCACAGCCCCACCCCCACTCCTGTCCCCACTGTTCCCCCCACCCATCCCCACCCCTACCCAGTCCCGGGGGTTCAAAGCGAAGCTTCCAAATTCTGGGCCCCGCGTTCCCTCCGTTCCCTCCATCCTCACAGCTCCCCACCCCCAGCCAGTGGGCTCTGCTCCTGGAGCGGAACTTGTTTCCTTTGGACCTCGGCCTGTGGACACCCTTCCAGGCCCTTCCCTCGCCCTCGGCATGGGGACGTGCTGGTTCAGAGCTCTGCTCCAACGGCACCAGGTGGGCGGGTTGGAAGGAGCAACGAGCCAGACGGCGCCAGGTTCCAAGGCCCAGAGCGCAGGGAGGATTTGCAGATGGGCTGGGGCCTGGGGCCCCCTACACCCGAGCCTGCTCCTCGTCCAGATGCCATGGCCTGCCACCAGGCAGGGAGAGCTCCCACAGCCAGCTTCCCCAATTTCACAGAAAATCCGGGACCACAAACCTCAGACGCATAACCCTCCTGTTTTTCTAGAAAGTTTTCCTCTCCAAGACTGTGGCTGGTGATTCTCCTCTGTCCTCGAACCTCCAAGTGCCCCCACCGAGCCCGAATCCCAAGCTGCTAAGCGCGCATCTTCCTTTATTAAGAACAGAGGCGAGACAGGCAGAAGTATTATGGGGTAGGGTTTGAGTCCGGATTCTGCAGCCTAACTGCCCAACTCTGGGAAGACTTGCCTCTTACCAGCTGTGTGACCCTGGGGAAGACACTTCCCCTCTTTGGGCCTCAGTGTTCTCATCTGCAAGATGGGGATGAAATTATAACCATATCTTTCTCTGATGATTTTTTCCACAAATAAAATGAGTCATATTTGTAAATTGCTTAGGACAGGGTCTGCTGTGTGAGCACTATATAAACTTTTATTTAAAAATAAAATTAAATCAAAATTTGCTTCTTTAGATTCTCAGCCTGAAATTCACCTTTCCCAACATTTACTTGCCTTTCTCTTCTGTTCTTGGAGGAAATGGCCACACTTCCACCAAAAGTCAGTCCCTTCTCTGCAATGGGGTCCCCGTCTCCCCTACTCGGGGAAGGTTCCATCTTGCGCTAACCTATTTAACAATCTCTCTTGCATAATTTCTTGTTTTTTTAGACTCCCTTCCTGACCCCCACCTCCAGCTACCACCTCTCCTTTCCTTAAAAAAAAAAAAAAATTTGGCATGCTCGGAGACATGTGAGATCTTAGCTGCCTGACCAAGGATCGAACCTGCTCCCCTCAATGTGTAAGTGCAGTGTCTTAGCCACTGGACTGCCAGGAAGTCCCTCCCCTGTTTTAAACACCTTCAAAGAACTGCCATCCTTGGGTTTGGACAAATACACCTTTCGTTCACTCTTCCAATCCTCTGTATCTGATTCCTGTCCCCACTTCTCAAACGGGATAACTCATACCAAGGTGCAAGGGCTTCCATTGTGTAACGTCCACAAAACAGCTGCTTCTCTGCCCTTATCTGGCTGTCCTCCCCTTCCCCCAAATCCTCTCTGCTCTGTGCTGGTTGAATTCTTACTTTGAAATAATTTCAAGCTTACAGTTGAGGTGCAAACCGGGACTAAGAACTGCATCCCTGTAATTTTCTGCCATGTATAAATCATCATTCCCTCTCTCGCTCTTTCTCCCCAGCCCTCCCTTTTTCTTCCTTTTAGGAGATGTGTCCCTCCCCTCAAAATGATATATTGAAGTCTTGAAGTCATAATCCCCAGCCGCTCAGAATGTGAACTTATTTGGAAACAGTGGTTGCAGACAGAATCAGTTGAGATGAAGTCTTACTGGAGTAGAACGGACTCCGAATCCCATGTGACTGGTGTCCTGGAAGAAGACAGTCACGTGCACCAAGACCAAGGCACACGTGACAGAGGGAGGAAGGGGAGTTGTGCAGCTGTAAGCCAAAGAAAGCCAAGGCTTGCCAGCAAACCACCGGAAGCAGACTTCCCTGGTGGTCTGGTGGTTAAGAGTCTGCCTCCCAATGCAGGGGCTGAAGGTTCAGTCCTTGGTTGGGGAACTAAGATCCACTGGCTGGCAGCGTGCATGTTAAGTCACTTCAGTCATGTCTGACTCTTTGTGACTCTTTGGACTGTAGCCCACCAAGCTCCTCTGTCCGTGGGGTTCTCCAGGCAAGAATCCTGGAGGGGGTTGCCGTGTTCTCCTCCAGGGGATCTTCCGGATCCAGAATTTGAACTGGTGTCACCGCAACTAGAGAAACCCTGGAGCGCCCTAGCTCGAGAAATCTGATGCGCCTTGACGAAGACTCAGTGCAGCCTAAATAAATAGTAAAATAAAAAGATATAAATTAAAAAATCACCAAAAGCTAGAAAGAGGTAAGGAGGCAAGAATGACTTCCCCTAGAAGTTGCAGAAGCATGACCCTATCAATTTCAGACTTTCGGTCTCAGAAAAGTGAATGAATATACTTCTGTTGTTTTACGCTATCCTGATCGTGGCATTTTGATACGGCAGCCCTAGGAAACTGACACACTCCATTCCCCATCCTTTTCTCTATATATAGTATTTTTTTTCAGAGCCTTTTGAGAATAAGTTGCATACATCATGCTTCTTTACCTCTCAATATGTCAGTGTTCCTTCCCTAAAAATAAGAGGGACTTTTTCTCACACAACCATGGGAGTTATCAAAAATCAGGAAATTCAGGACTTCCCTGGTGGTCCGGTGGTTAAGATTTCACACCCCCAGTGCAGGGGCTACAAGTTTGATCCTCGGTCCGGGAGCTAAGATCTCACATGCCACTCGGCAAAGACTAAAAATAAAAATAAATGAAATAAAAGAGAGTAAAACCTAAATTAAAAACTATTTTTTTGACTAGACCAGAACCACCGAGCTCTAACCAGATTCTCTTCATCGGGGTTGAGACCCGGGAGCTTCCAAGATGCCGGCTTACCACTCTTCCCTCATGCACCCTGACACCAAACTCATTGGAAACATGGCACTGTTACCACTCTTCCCTCATGCACCCTGACACCAAACTCATTGGAAACATGGCACTGTTGCCCATCAGAAGTCAGTTCAAAGGACCTGCCCCTAGAGAGACAAAAGAGACAGATATTGTGGATGAAGCTATCTATTACTTTAAGGCCAATGTCTTCTTCAAAAACTATGAAATTAAGAAGGAAGCCGATAGGACCTTGATATATATAACCCTCTACATTTCTGAGTGTCTAAAGAAACTCCAAAAGTGCAATTCTAAAAGCCAAGGCGAGAAAGAAATGTATACACTGGGAATCACTAATTTCCCGGGGAACCTGGTTTTCCACTTAATACCATTTACGCCAAACCTGCAAACAAACAGGAAAATGCAGTGATGAGGGCCTACTTACAACAGCTGAGGCAAGAGACTGGACTGAGATTTTGTGAGAAAGTTTTTGACTCTCAGAATGATAAACCCAGCAAGTGGTGGACTTGCTTTGTGAAGGGACAATTCATGAACAAGAGTCTTTCAGGACCTGGACAATAAAGACAGCCTTGGGCAGACACTGTCTCCACAGCTGTGGGCAGCATTTACAGAAAAATGTACACAGTTCTTTGCTTTTGTTTCCTAAAGTTTTAAAGCTTTATACAGCGGAGAGAAGAGCGTGTGTCTTTACTTGAAGAGCTCTTTATCAAGAATTTGGGGTGGGATGGGTGGGGGAGAATGAGTTGTTGACTGGTGATTTGAAATGTCTGCAGTATTAAGCTAGTGCTTAATAAATAATGATAAAGAAAAAAATTACTTTTTAAAAATTCAGGAAGTTCAACATTAGCACCACATGCTTATCCAATCCAAAGTCCATATTCAGTCTCGTCAATCGCCCTAGTCATATCCTTTCCAGAAACTGTATTTTTCCAGCCTGAGATGGCATGTGAGACCGGAAGTTGGACTCAGTCGTCTCTTTCTCAGCTCCTTCACTCTGGAGCCCTTCCCATCTTTCCTGGATGTTTGTGACCCTGACACTTTGAAGAGAGCAGGCCTCTTTTGTGCAATGACCCTGCGTGTGGGTCTGTCTGGTGTCTCCTGGGGATCAGATGTGTTTTTGGCAGGAATTCCCCGAAAGTGATTCCCTGGACGTGTCCTCCTTGCTCTGTCACTGCAAGGGCACCTGATTTCAGTATATTCTACCACTGGGGATGTTCGCTTTGATTACTGGATTAAAGTGGCATCTGCTAGGTTGCTCTGGCATGAATCATTGGTTCTCTCTTTGTAACTCCCCCCTTAGCTTTAAACACACACACCTTGCTTTATTATGTAAGCAGTACATCTTGAGGATTTCAGTACATTGTTTCCTGGAAAGGGAATCTTGCCATACCAGCAAAGAGAACTCTCTCCTGCTTTTGTTTAACATGTGTGTGTCTCCCATTATATGGATGTACCATGATTTGCTAAACAGTCTATAAATGGATGGTGGTGGTGGTTTAGTCTCTATAAACTCTTGTGACTCCAAGAACTGTAGCCCACCAGGCTTCTCTGTCCATGGAATTCTCCAGGCAAGAATACGGGAGTGGGTTGCCATGCCCTTCTCCAGGAGATCTTCCCAACCCAGGGATCGAACCTGGGTCTTCTGCATTGCAAACAGATTTTTTTTTTTTAACCGACTAAGCCACCAGGGAAGCCCTTATAAATGGATATTTGGGCCAGTTCCAGTCTTTTGCTACTCCTTTCTTTGTTTTTCAGATACACACTCTTGGGGTTCTCCTGCCCCCTCCCTTCTGGCACAATCCTTAATCCTTTCTCTTAATTTCTCCTCTTCTGCCTGACATTGATCCACTATTTTCTCTCCTTTCTTCACACTCTCTCTCTAGATGATCTCACCCTGCTTCTCAGCTTAAAATTCCTCCCATGTGCCAATGACTTCTAAATTTATATCCCCACCCCATCTCCTCCCTCCACTCCAGGCTTGTATGTCTAACTCTGTTTGGATGTCTGCGAGGCATATCAAATTTAAGAACCCACCCAAACAGAATTCCTGACCTCATAGCTCATTTCTCCCTAGAGTTTCCCCATCGTAGTGAATAGACCCACCAACATTCTAAACATTTGAGCCAAAGATAGTTATTTAAATTTTTTTAAATTGAGGTACGATTCATGTAATATAAAGTTAACCATTTTTAAGCAGGAATAAAGTGTGGAAGTGTTAGTTGCTCAGTCGTGTCCGACTCTTTGCAACCCCATGGACTGTAGTGCACCAGGCTACTCTGTCCATGGGATTCTCCAGGTAAGAATAGTGGAGTAGGTTGCCATTCCCTTCTCCAGGGGATCTTCCCGACCCAGAGATTGAACCTGGGTCTCCTGCGCTGCAGGCGAATACTTCACCATCTGAGCCACCAGAGAAGCCCTATCACTTTCATTGTTAAGCATATATTACTTGTATTTATTTTTAGAATACTTTATTTTTTGCTGTGCTGAGTCTTCGTTGCTTCTAGGACTTCTCTCTAGTTGCAGCAAGCAGGGACTGTTCTCCATGTAGTGTGTGGGTTTCTCATTGCAGTTGCTGCTCTTGTTGCAGAGCAAGGGCGTTAGGGCTTCAGTAATCATGGTTCTGGGCCCCAGAGCAGAGGCTTAGTGGTTGTGGACAAGGGCTTCATTGCTTTGGGGCATGTGGCATCCTCCTGCACCAGGGAGCAAACCTCCTTCTGGCAGGAAGACTCTTCACCACTGAGCTACTAGGGAAGCCTTGAAAGTAACCATTTTAAAGTGTACACGAGTGGCATTTAGTACCGTCACAATGCTGTGCGAACATCACCTCTATCGAGTCCAAGAATTGTCATCACCCCCAAAGGAAATATGATGCTGATTAAGCAGTCACTCCTCATTCCCTCCTCCCTCAATCCCTGGCACCTGCTAATCAATTTTATATCTCTACATCTTTACTTATTTACTTATCTCTTACTTTATTTACTTATCTCTACCTTTACTTATTTTGGAGTTGTTTTTTTTTTTTTTTACTGCACGGCAGGCATGCAGGATCTTCTCTGACCAAGAACTGAACCCATGACCCCACATTGGGAGCACAGAGTCTTAACCACTGGACCACCAGGGAAGTCCTGGAGATTTTATATAAATGGAATCATACACATGTGTTGTTTTGTGTGTGGCTTCTTTGACTTAGCATAGTGTCTTCAAGGCTTATCAGTGTTAAAGCAAGTATCAGAATTCCATTCCTTCCTTTGGCTGAATAATATTACATTTTATGGCTATACCATACAACATTGTAAATAAACTATATTTCAATTTTGTTTTAAGTGGTTTAAAAAATTAAATGACAGATGCAGGGCTTAGAATGTTGTCTGGCACGGAGCATACCCTATGTAAGTGACGGCAATGACGCCTTTTAAAAACAATATAGTTTAAAAAAATAAAATAAATTAAAAACAATATTGTTGTTGTGGTTATTATATGTGTCCTTCAAGATCCCTTCCAGTGTCACCTCCTCCAGGAAGCCTTCCTGGGTGAGTCCAGATAGGATCCGTTGCTCAGATTTCCCCAGAATATTTTATTTAGTTCTTTCTTTAAACCTCAGCAAAACATGTCCCAATTATTATACTCTGTATTCTACACCCCACACCAAGGATCAGAATATTATATTTGTGATAATTATAGTGTTTCTCTCCCTGGCTGTAAACAGGCTGGCCTGGCCAGTCATAACCACTGGATTAAGCTCCTAAAAGCAGAGCTTGTTTGATTCACTCAAGTATGCCCAACACGTCGCCTGGAGACGGGAACAGGGAGACTTCTCAGGCAATATTGGTGGATCCAATAAATGAACCATTCTGTCCCCTCTCTCTCAACTTGGAATGTGCGTAAACCCAGAGATACGCAATGGTGCCCCAAGGATTCATAAATTCATGGCAAACAAAGTTTTTTGCAAGGAGTTTATTAGAAATATCTTTGTTACAAGTCTCTTTTCCCCCCAGTTTTACTGAAAAATAATTGACATACATCATTGTGTAAGTTTTGGATTTCCCTTGTGACTCAGATGGTAAAGAATCTGCCTGCAATTGGGAGACCTGGGTTTGATCCCTGGGTTGGGAAGATCCTCTGGAGGAGGGCATGGCAACCCACTCCAGTATTCTTGCCTAGAGAATTCCATGGACAGAGGAGCCTGGTGGGCTACAGTCCACGGGGTCACAAAGAGTTGGACACGACTGAGCGACTAACACACACTGAATAAGTTGAAGGTGTATTGTGAAATACTTACCTGTATTGTGAAATGATTACCACAGTAATTTCAGCCAATATCCACCTCTTCTCAATAAAAAGAAAAGAAGGAAAAGAAAAAGGAAAAAAATTTCTCTCCTTGTGTTGAGAACTCTTAGAATTCTTTTTAAAAAAAATTGTCTATTTATTTGGCTGCATTGAGTCTTAGTTGGGGCAGGCAGGATCTTCGTTGCAAATGAAAGATCTTCACTGTGACATGCAGGATCTTTTTAGTTGAACACACTTGTTCCTGGACTTCCTGGTGGCCCAGTGGTCCAGTGTTCCCACGGCAGAGAGCACAGGTTCAATCCCGTTTGGGATGGCACATGCCACTGTGGCCCAGGAGGGAAAAAGAAAAAAAAAAGGTATTTTTGTTCTCCTTGATTCATGTTTTGTACAAGGAAAAGTAAGAGCCCACATTCTTCCACCAAACTTTCCATTTATCTATTTATTTATATCCACACAGATTCATGGATCCTTATTTTATTCAAGGGGCTATGATCTGTTGCCCTCATTTATAACGTTGATGCTCAAAACATCCAGATTTGACCCGTGGGAGCCTTGTGGGAGCCCTTCAAGCTGGCTCTGTGCCCTTCCACCTGTTCTCATCATTTTTTGAGTATTTCCTTACTTTCTGACCCCCAAAATGTTACAAGATCATCTTGTATATTCCCTGTCCCACAACTCCTTGAATCAGTCATTTTCTCAAGGGAGAAAAGAGTGTACTTCTAAAAAAAAAAAAAAAAAAAAGAGTGTACTTCTGACCCCTTCAGCCCTGAATGAGCCCCTCGGACTCTGATTTCTACACGGCTGGGCAGAGTGAACTGTGGAGGTAATGCTCTAACGGTTGCCATGGAGACCGCTGGGCTTCGGAGCAGCAGGCGGTGACGTCACTGTGGGAGCTAGTGCAGTGAGCAGCCGCATCCATGTCTCGGCCAGGTCACAAGGCGATGAGGGTAGCCTTTGGGCCAGTGGCAAAGAATGAGCCTTCCTACCTGGTGGACACCCACCCACAGTACCCCAGTGGCAGCAACCCCGGAACGATCAGCAGTCCCAGATCTGCTAAGAATGCCAGAGCCTGCAAGACCTTTGAAGACCACCGCCAATAACGAGGGAGCAGCATCTCCAGACCCTTCACGGTGCGGCCTGGCCTGGGACTCAGGATCCCCCAGACGGCTGGCAGACACCCATCACCTGCATCACACTGTTTAAGTCCCTAGGAATTCCCAAGCGCCCCCTCGGAGGAAGATTACAGAAGGCTGGACACGTGCAGCCCTGTGGGC